GTCACCCAGCTATATGAAAAGTGCTCAATCTTAAAGCATTCATGAACGGCTTTCATTTGATACTCATATTGAACAAATACACCCAAGGTTACCCAGGTCCACGTTTTGGTCTATATCTCGAGACCCTAGTCACCCAGCTATATGAAAAGTGCTCTATCTTAAAGCATTCATGAACAGCTTTAATTTGATACCCATATTAAACAAATACATCCTAAGGTTACCCGGGTCCACGTTTTGGTCTGTATCTCGAGACCCTAGTCACCCAGCTATATGAAAAGTGCTCAATCTTAAAGCATTCATGAACGGCTTTCATTTGGTACCCAGATTGAACAAATACACCCAAGGTTACCCAGGTCCACGTTTTGGTCTATATCTCGAGACCCTAGTCACCCAGCTATATGAAAGGTGCTCAGTCTTAAAGCATTCATGAACAGCTTTCATTTGATACCCATATTGAACAAATACACCCAAGGTTACCCAGGTCAACGTTTTGGTCTATATCTCGAGACCCTAGCTATTTTTTAAAAATTTTCTTTGCTACAAACCTCACAGAGCCCGAGCCCTTTCCAACGAATGCAAAACCGTGGGAATCGGTTCGGCGGTTCTTGAGTTATAAGATTACCAAGGAAATGTAACTTCTTTTTATATATATATGTAGATAATTCATTCCAAAATTTAAATCATATAAATCAAAGTTTCAGATATCAAAATATATTCAACAAAACTAACATTTTATTAGTTAAGGTAGGCAGGGGTTAAGTATGCTGGCCACCCACTACGTGGCTTCCCAGAGACCAGTTTAGACAGCTAATCACTGCGTACCAGGAGCAATGTTGAAGAACATCGCAGTAGTCTTGGCAAACTGGAACAACTTGTTATACCCTAAATTGACGGCGGCTTTCAGATTAGGTAGAAAATCTGCTCCCAATAGATTAACCCGTGTAAAATTAGTCAAATCATGGGATTTTAAAAATTTCTTCTAAGAAAAAAAGTTATTTGATACAATATGCGTCGATGGGTACCCGCGTACCCGGTGGGTGCGAAGTATTTTCATGATATACAAGTACTATAAAAAATACAAATGACCCGGTGTTTCTGCCTTCAGTAAGTCAAGAAATAAAAAAAATACCCTTTACTGCAACAACAGCAAACAAATTCTTGAAAAAAAAAACAAATCCAAAGAACCACTTTAGTTGCCACTTCAACTTTAACCTCTTCGGGCCTTTGTGCAATATAATGTACAAGACATTTACGTCCTTTCAGTGCCAATGTACATTATATTTTATACTTTCTTTGACCACTCAAGAAAAATATTTAAAAGCAAGATAGTTCAATTGTAGCATTTCTTAATGTTCAAATACTTTTTAGATTTCCTTGTTATATACTTTTCTCAGTGATTCAACTTAATTTTCATGTAATTTTTATACAGTAAATTACAGTCACTTGCGTGGCACTGCAATTTCGAAAGATGGTGTTAAATAAAATGAAAATTTTTTTTTTTAGCGTTTTCGATTTCGTTTATGTAACAGTTCTCTACCTTGTTCTGTACTGCTAATGAGTAGTGGAGAATGACGTATGTATATTCTCTACCAGAAGAGAAATAATCGGTAGAGAAGAGTTATAGAAACGAGCTACAGGGCAGTCGTTTGGTTATAAAGATTAATTGTATTTAAAAGTCTTAACAAGATTTTTAGTAGCACGCTTCCATTGTTACAAAAAATTAAATGTACAATATATTGTCCAAATTTCTGGAAAGGGTTAATAGACGGCTGATGGCGAATAAAACGAAAAATGTGTTAATATTATTTTTAAAAACAAGTGTGCGCAGTATATTCCCATAAGTCAAAAGATATCTTTGTATATTAGTACTGTAAGTTCTGAAAGTCATTACACACTTCAGTACTTATAACTCTAACTAAATTAATGCATTAAAAGCTCTATGATCAATCCTTTGTCACTTTGTATGCAGGTAAATTGTTCAGCAAATAAGTGTTTACATAAATTTACTTCTTATAAGAACTGAATGCTAAAGTTTCTTTATTTTTATTAATTTCTTACCCTACAAACAGTCGTTAGATTTTGTCAGCAGACAAACTCACACTTCCGAACAATTAACTATGCAAACATCTATAATTGAGTTATAATGCATTGCAGAAATGTAAGTTTGTGTTCTCAAGTTTTGTGCTTTAACAAGCAAAAAACTAAGGCATACATTAACTCTTTGTCTACCCGCAAGGTCCAATGGAACCGAATGTTAATTTATTGTGTTCCCATATCAATATCTGATGCTTTTGAACTCCATGACTTCTTTACTTTGCTTATTTTCATGTAGTCTACACTTTTTTGATAATGTTAATTATGATTTTTAAATAATTAGTATTGCTTTTGTAAATCCAGCGGGAACTACCAGCCCGGGTCCGTTGGACCAACATAATTACTTAGTTAAGATAGTTAATGCTAGTTTCCCCGCGTTAGACAAAGGGTTAATACATTGAAATTTTATTTATGCAAACATGCGTACATATGTACATAGATGGATGCATAAATATGTCCTTCTCTTGTGTGTGCTCGTGAGTCTTTAAGCACATACTATTCTTTGTTGTCTTAAATTGCTGTTTGCTGCTTTTAAAAGATGAAATGAGATAAAATGTGTTTTTATATGTATATGTACGCAGATAAGTAAGAGGAATTTCATTCATTAGGGTGAACGTTTGCTGATTGGGTTAAGATTTTAAATGTTCTTCCGCCAAGTATCACATTTTGAATCTTGCCATTCATGATTTATATTTAATTATGATTTCTCTCAATGTAAAATGGTAAGCCTAGTAGCTATTGATTGTTTATAATGTAAATTTTATCGTATTTATCGTAAATTCGAGTATATATGATAAAGATAATTATACAATTGCGTTTACATATAATAACACACTACGACAAATCTACAGCAATACAAAGGACACGATTCCGAATTTTGAGAAATCCAACGTAGTGTATAAAATTCCATGCAATGGCGACGGGTCCCACGTATGTAATAAGGTATATGTGGGGACATCTAAATCAAAGTTAAAGACAAGGATTTCCGCTCATAAGTCAAATATTAAATTAAGGAACAACTCCTCGGACAACAAGACGGCCTTGTCATATCATTGTAAGAATACGGGACATTATCCAAACTTTGACAACGTAGCAATTTTAGAAAAGGAAAAACACTACCATAAACGCTATACTTTGGAAATGCTACATATTATGAACACCCCTAACAATAAAAGGATGAACTTCAAATCGGACACCGACAATTGCGCGCATGTTTATCGCAACTTAATTCTAAGACAACAACAATTCATAGCATAGGTGTCATGTGTTCGTTCGCAGTCCACTGTCATTCCGTACCTTATATGTTTCGGACAACAACAAAAGAGAGCTGCAGTGATATGCATACATATTTATGTCTTACTGTTCGTTTTCCTATGTATTGTTGTTCGTGGATTTTTGTTTACAATT